CTGCCTTACAGCGCCTCGCAGCCCGCACCGAACACCGCCCGCTCTCCCCACAGCCGCCGCCGCCGCGCCGGGAGAGGGGCGGGGCTCCCCCACGACTTAATGAGGCCACGGCGTCCCCGCGCCCGCGAAGCTGGGGGGAGCCGATTGGCTGGCGCAGAGGATGAGCACCGCCTTCAGCCAATGAGGCCGCGCCTGGGGGTGGAGCGGCGCGGTGCCTTAGGGGCGCGCTGGGAACCCAGCCCGAGCTCCCTCCGCATATCCCCCCGCAACCCCGGCCTCGGTTCCCGGTGGAACCTGCGGGGCTCCCGGTGCTGTGTCCCCCCCCTCCCTCCCCCGCGGCGGCAACGCTCACCGGAGAGACGGGGTCACGCCACCCGAGGCAGCCGAGCCTCTGGCTTCTCCCAGAAGCACCCCCAGGGCATCCTCACCCGCATCCTCACCCACCGCCCGGGCCGGGTATTCCCCTCCGCCGCCCCCAGGGAAGAAGAGGAGGAGGAGGAGGAGGAGGAAGAAGGGTGGCCCCGGTGGCCTGGGCTGCCATCCAGCACCCCCTCCCTCATCGCCAGGAGGGGGGGAAACGGCACTGGGCCAGGCAGACCTCACGCCCTCACTTCTTTTCTTTTTTTTTTCTCTGGCTTTAAGGACTTTTTTTTTGGTTTGGGTGAGAAGCAAGGTCTTATTACTCTTATTACTCATAATGAAATCAGCAGAAAAAAAAAATAAATATATATAACTCATAATGAAATCAGCAGAAAAAAAAAAAAAAATATATAGAAGTGAGTCTAGGAACTTAATGATCACGCTAGCTACCCTCCTGCCCACGGGCTGTCATTCCCACTCAAAGTAATCAAAACCAAGTGGACGGAGCATTGTCCAGGCCAGAAGGGACCTCCAAAGGTCATCTAGTCCGACCTCCCTGCAGTCAGCAGGGACACCCCAACTAGAAATGAAGGGGTGTTGGGGGGAAGGTGGTGTCCTTTCCTGCTTCTATCACCATAGCTCGGCTTTTATACACACTCACGTTCACTTTTTATTCTCTAAATGCTTACCCTTCACCAGCCACAACGTCAAGTCGAAAGGGCCACGAAATGAACTTGTACCAAATGTGCTCTGCCACCCTCTCTAGAAGGGAGAGGGAGAGATGATCTTTCATTTTTAACAGGTTAAAATGACACCGCATGAAAATGAAAGATGGGGGATTCAGATTTTGATAGGGAAAAGCAACACAAGGAAATTTAAGAAAATCTGGGGCAGAGGTGTTCAAATAATGGGCCGGTCTTTTTTCAGCGGTGCCCAGAGATAGGACAAGAGGAAATGGGCACAAACTTGAATATAAGAAGTTCCACCTAAACATGAGGAGGAACTTCTTTCCTGTGAGGGTGGCAGAGCACTAGAAGAGGCTGCCCAGAGAGGTGGTGGAGTCTCCTTCTCTGGAGACATTCAAACCCCTCCTGGACACGTTCCTGTGCAACCTGCTCTGGGTGGGCCTGCTCTGGCAGGGGGGGTTGGACTAGATGATCTCCAGAGGTCCCTTCCAACCCCGTGTGATCCTGTGATTCTGTAATGTTGCTAAAGTGCTGTGAGGAGAAAGGGTGTTTAGTTTTGTACTTCTAGGGTCAGATCCTAACCTGTCAGTGGGAAAGAAGGACCAGGCAGACGAAACACTGCTTCACTAAGCTCTCAGGGTGGCCCAGCACTAAATATGCTAAGTGGTAAGGGTGGCCAGGCTGCCAGTGAGCAGCACCCTACGTCTCTTCAGTGCTTACTGTGCCAACTTTGTCCCTCATTTGTTTGGGAAGCTCTGGCAAGCATTCAGCATCTCAGGGAGAACTTTGTTCAGTGCTTTTCCTAAAAAAAAAAGAACTATGCCTGACCCCAGTACAGAACTGCAACAAAATCTGCTGCTAATGCAAAGTATTTCCACTGGATGTGAACTGCACTTATAGTTACATACATAATGCTTTTCATCTCACCCACTGACTTTAATGTTAACAATTACCTCTGGTCTCTGTCAACCTTGTCTAAGCCAGCACTTACAGTATAAAGCCAGTCCAGCCCACGTAATCTTAAATTCACCGTACCAGAAGAGTTTGATTCGCCACCCACCACCTCAAACTGGTGAACGTTCCCACATGACACTGCCTGATCCCACACCCGGGATCACCCTGCCTCCAGTCAGATCAAACCTGTCTCCTCCTGTGGGCACATCACAGGCAAACTGGTTGATTGACTTTGCAAGGAAAAGAACCGAAGCTCTTAGGGACAGAAAGAAAAATATCTATTCTTGAGTTTCAGCACTATGTATTGGCTGTATTCAATCATTAAGAATTCAATTAACAGAAAGAAATATTGTATGCCAATATGCAGTCATAACTACAAGTGAGGAGAGAGCAACCCATGCCACAAACCAGGACCTCCATGGCCATTAAATACGGATTTCTTATCTCCATTAGTCTTTGAACAAGACCGTGTCATTAGCATGGCAAAACCAGCCTAATGACTTTGATTCACGTTTCAAACTACACAAGGACAGAAGAGTCACAGCCATATCCCTGCGCAGGACTCGTTGCAGACAGCTCCACTCATTTGGCAGCTATTATCTCTCAGACCAGCTGGGCTGTGTTTTTCAGGGTCTCTGCTCTGGAGCCCTTCCAGGCGGCAGCGTTTAGCTGGAATGTGTATGGCAGAAGCAGTTCAGGAAACTCACAAACACACAAACTTCCGCAGGGGCACCAGTGCAACTGCACCACGCTGAAGGAAGGCCTGGAGCTGAGTGAGGCAGAAAACAGAAGAGAACAGAACTGGAAAGAAATAGGCCAATTAATGATTGATGAAAACTGTAGCAAACAGGAACCTTCTTCACTGATTATGCCCCTGGTACTTTTTTCATAGAATAGTTACTTTGTTCAAAGCTAGATCAAGGCTTTGCCACAGAGCACTGCAGACTTACCCATTGTAAATTCCAAAAGACCCTGAGCTCTTTGTTTAGAACTATTTGATATATGATCTATCTTCATTAATAATTTAAGCTTCAAAAGAAACTTCCGTGATCAAACCCTCACACCCTTTAATAACTCTGAAACCTTCTCTCTAAAACTTCCTCCTGGGTGTTTTTCTGCTGCATGAACTTGTGCCTTCCCTCCTAGACCCTCCCTACTCCTTTCCACCTTCGGTTGGTGCCAGCAGCGTGCCCCTTCCCTCTCCCACCCCAATGTGTGCCCAAGGAATCTTCAGCCTTTTCCTGGATGCCAGCCTATTCAGGCCATTTTCAACACTTGATAGTTTTTCCTCTACAAAAGTCCTAGATCCTGTCTTTTTTCTGTCTGCTCCCCATGCTATTGTTGCCTCACGTTCCTCTGTAATTTTTTCTGATGGTCCACTTTCATTCAAGACCAAATGTGTATTGAGAAACAACACACTATGCAGAGAGATGAACGTTTCCCCAAAAGGACTCAGAACTGTTAGATGGTAAAATCACTCTGGCTACGTCCACCTCCTTGCCCATCACCCCCCCAACATACTGGTTCTCTCTTATAAACTAAACACAAGCTTTATTTCTTGCAAGAAATCACCTGCAAAGTGGACAGGGGTCTGGGAAGCCCACACTGTGTATTAACCTTCCTGTAAGCAGGTCAGAGCTACCCAGGATGGACACCTTCCCTTAGAACACCACGTCATCTTACCCATCCGTGCCTTCAGTTTCCTTATCTATTCTTTTTACACCTCTGCTGGCTCAAGTTTTTCTGGTTTAAAAAGACCGCTTTATTCACAGATTTTTCAATCAGCTTCATTTTTCCCTCCCAGGAAGACTGCAAATCCCCAAGACATCAATATCATATTTTCACCCAAGCCTATCCTCTAAAGCCACTTGTTTAGCTGAACCCAAGCAAACTTATGTGTATTCATGGACTGGAAGCTGTTTGCGTTGCCCCTGAGACCACAGCCACAGCTCACATACAGTGCTGCAGAGTCCTGGTGGCCCAAAGTCCTTCACAGATCTCTAAACACCAGATTCTGGTCTATAACACAAAGAAAAGAAAGCCTTCTCCATCGGAGCTCAAAGAGCACGTAGCAGGCTATGAGGCACTACTCCTACTTCT